TGGTGGTGGTGCTGCTGCTGATTGACTAGCTCAATTGAATCGGTACTGCCGTCCAGCAGACCACCACCAACACTGGCACCAGTGGGAACGTACTCACAAAGCATCTTTCCACCACCGGAGCCGTAGCCTTCCAGAACTGGACTGCCGAACTGGCAAGAACTGGTATCGTAACCAGAGCTGCCGCCGTAGTACTGCGCCAAATTGGGATTGAGAAAGTTGGCACCGGTGCTGATGAAAAATAAAAAATCAAAGTTAGTAACATTGAAAAAGAAAAAACGTCAAACAAAAGTGTACCTAGATCCGTAAAAAGACGAGGGAGAGGGCGAATTGGTGAGATAGCTGTGCGTCGAAAAAAGACCGCCACCTGACCCATAGTCGTAGCCACCAGCTGAAGAGCCAGCAGCACAGGGGCCACCTGAGGAAAACCAGGAGCCATCAGAAAGCGGTGTTGAGCTGCCCATCATTGCACAGGATGACTGCCGAGACTGCTGCTGCTGCTGCTGAAGATGATGGGAATGATGATGGTTATGGTGGTGAGAGTAGGGCGACGAAGGGGACGTCGAGTGGCTGGAAAGTGGGCCCGAGGAGGAGTGCTCCAGTGAGGAGTTTGAGGAGAAGGAGTGCGAGAGGGCGGACCCAGGCGGCGGAGAGTAGCTGCCGCTGTTGGGCGGCGGCGATGACAGCTGTGTCATGTAGCCGGAGCTTGCTGTTTGACCGTAGGCCAGTGAGGCGGCAGCGGCTGCGGCAGCCGCCGCCTGTTGACTGCTCACCGATGCCATCAGATTGGCCGTGTGCAGTGCTGAGCCGCCTGCGCCTCCGTACACCCCGGCACCGGAAAGCATTGGAGAGGAGGACTACAAGAAAAGATAAAAATTAAAAACTAAAAACAATTAAATCTGATAAAAGATAAATTACCAATGCTGAACTGGAGGGACTGCCGCCAGAGGCGACGGCCAGTGACTTAGCAAACTGTACCAGATTGTTCGCATTCGCCGAGTGGATGAAGGACTTCCGTGGTGGCTCACGCTTGCGCCACTTGGCTCGACGATTCTGGAGTTGAAAGGGGAAAATTGTTTAATTTTTATACACTGGCAACAATAAACAAAACGTTCACTTACCTGAAACCAGACTTGCACACGAGATTCACTCAACTTAAGTCGCACCGCCAGCTCCTCTCGAGCAAAGACATCAGGATAGGGAGCCCGCTGGAAGGCTCGCTCTAGTTCGTCCAGTTGGTACGACGTGAAGGTGGTCCTGTTGGATTGGGTGAAAAAAAGAAGAAACACCAATCCTTAGTAACCAGGCATAAAATCATCATTATCGTCATCGTCAAATGTTTGAATGCACATTGAAAAGCACAATCACACACACGTACAAATAAACACAAACTGCCTCTACGGTTACTCGGACGGTGCAACAGCAAGTTGCAAGAAGCAAACCAAAAGCAAAAATTCAAAATAAAAATAAAAATAAAAATGCGTGCAAAACAAACAAACAAAAAAACTAAAATTAAATTAGGGAAAATGAAAGTAAATAATAAAACTAAATAAAAAATAAACAAAACTCTAAAATAAAAAAATAAAAAATAAAAAATAAAAAATAAAAAATAAAAAATAAAAAATAAAAAACGAAAAACAAAAAACAAAAAATACTAAAAACTAAAAATAAAATGAAGTAAATTTTTAACCAAAAAAATAAAACAAAGAAAAAATAAAAACAAAACTCCTTGCAACTTGCCTTGTCTTTTTCTTCTTGTTGGCTTCTGCGGCGCTGCTTCGGGAGTTGCCGCCACCACTGTTGCTGCTGTTTCCATTGTTGGCAGAATTGTTTGAGTTGTTATTTGCCGAACTTGCAAAGGAGCTGGCCATGGTGTTGGAGGTGTTGGAGACCGCCGATGAGACAACTGATGCAGGACACTTGGCGGCCACCATAGACTGCATCTGTCCGATGGTGCTCAGTGAATGCAACGACGACGACGACGACGGCGGCGAGTGAGCGTTTAGGCTGCTGAAACTGTTGCTGCTCACCGCCGACTGTTCACCGTTGCTGTTGGGAGGCACAGCACCGGCAGACACTGTGGCAGAGTTGCCGCGAGTCGGGTACCGACTGGCTGCACTGCTGCTCGGGAACAGACTCGAGTACGCACTGCCCGAGGAGGAGTTTGGAGAGGAGGTGGTAGAAGAGGAGGAAGAGGAAGGTGAAGAGGAAGAGGAGGGCGATGAAGTGTGTGAAGAGGACTGGCCCACCACTGCTATGGAGCCGCTGTACTGTGTCGGGTAGGATATGCCTTTGTAAAAGTAGCAAAAAGAACAAAATAATTAGCTTAAAGGTCTACATAATTAAAAGCAAAAAAAAAGAATGTTCTTTCTATCTGAAACTTACCGTAGATTGCTGAACTGACATCACGGTGGTAGTGATGACCGAAAGTGNTTGTAAAAGTAGCAAAAAGAACAAAATAATTAGCTTAAAGGTCTACATAATTAAAAGCAAAAAAAAAGAATGTTCTTTCTATCTGAAACTTACCGTAGATTGCTGAACTGACATCACGGTGGTAGTGATGACCGAAAGTGTTGCCGTATGCCACCGATGAGGATGACATTGCCGCCAGTGGCGGGTTCATAGCAATTGGAGCGGATAGTTTAGAAGCGTAGGAAGTGGAAATGACCGGCCCTGAGTACTGCTGCTGACTGATTCGATTATTGCTGAACTGATTAGTAGTAGAGTGGTGGTGGTGGTCTACACTGTTTGACGGTAAAACTTCTGCCTGTTCTAGAGAGTAGTTGTCGTTTGACGACGTTTGAGTAGAGAAGAGTACTTGGGTTGAGTTTGTCAGTTGTTGGCACTGTTTGTTGCTGCTGCTGCCGTTGTTTAAAAGACCAATGCTGGACCGGTTCTGTTGTTGCTGGTGGTGGTGATCATGGTGCTGCTGCTGCTGAGTGCCAGCCACAAAATGAGACGGCGACTGGTGATGGTGATGACTGGGCTGCTGCTGTTGATGCTGCTGCACCAGCAGACCATGATCGACGACTGCCCCTGAGGATGATGAAGAGGAGGAGGAGGAAGAGGAGGATGCTCTGCTACGATTGCTGATGGTGGTGTTGTTGGTGGTCGTACTGGCAGTGGTAATGTTGGTGGTTTTAGTGTTGCTGGTGGCACAACCACTACCAACGCCACCAGTACTGACACTCGACGACATGGCCGCCAACACTTGATGCTGCTGCTGGTGCATCGATGCTGATGATGCTGGCGGTGGTGGTGGTGGCAGTTGTGCCGTTACTCTGCTATCTTCTCCTCTTTGCCCGTCTTCGTTCCCATCAACCGTTGCAGCGAATGCATCCATGGCAGTAGTCGGCAATTGGCCGACATCGATGAGCATCGACGAGCTGCTGCCGTTGTTGTTGCTGCTGCTGTTGGTGCCTCCAGTTGATGGGCCGTTTGCTGTTGTTGTCTGCTGTTGTGCACCGTTGCAGAAGAAAAGTGACCCACTGGAGTTGGTACCTCCATTGGTTCGGAGACTGCTGCTGGAGTTCAAGTTCAGAGAGCCACTGTACAGCAGAGGGGTACTGTCCACATCGTAGTCAAGCGAGTTTGAGTCAAGACAATGCTGAAAAAAGGTTGACAGTGCTGATGAGGAAGACGTTGATGCATTTGATGAACCTCCAAGTAAAGAACGTGATAAACGGAAAAGCAGAGTAGTTATAATGAAATGAAATTTGGCAAAACAAAAAATGTTTTATAACAAATTAAAATGACTGGCTTTTTCTGTGTAAGTAAACAGAAAATACCCTTAGAGAATTGTGAATGATGAGTGGAAAATTTCCAGACACACAAAATCAGATAACACCGCAACAGCTACACTTGAGGTGATCACCATCTCCAAGATGATAACCCGATGATCAGTCGGCTAGGTGCCAGTGCTATGGTGGTCGATCGAAGCAGTGCTCAATCGCTATCGGCAGATTGTGTAGCAATGAGACATACACAAGCAAAGGACAGGTAAGGTAAGGTAAGGTAAGGTAGTACGGAAATGCTGGCGCACTGAGTGTGCGACAAGAGAGAGAAAGGCACAGATGCGGCGCAGAGGCAACGTACCGCGAGAAGGTAATGGCGCGCAATGATTGGCCCTAATTGCCTACACCGTAGGCAAATATGATGCTCCCACTCGCTGCCAATGGCTCACTCTTACAGCCACACATACACAGACTCGATCAAACACTGTCTGTCAGTAAATCACAAGGTAAGACGACGATAACCACCGCCACAAAATGAACCAGTGCGACACTTGCCCAGCAGTGCAACTTTCCCTTCTCGGGCAGATAAAGTGCATTCAGTCAGCACACTGAGGCACAGTGCTAGGGTTGGGTAGAGAGGAAACTGCAGATGCCACTGTCGACAGGGCGCTATCAACAAACAGACGACTCAACAGGTGTGTTCTTGAGCT